CAAGTCCCTGGGGTCATTTCACTCGATCTTTGGAACCGGAAACAATAAAATAGCTGTCATTAGAGCAAAACCCCTAAGTCATCTTTGTATTATAACACACTAAATAAGAAATATGGGATCATGACCCCCCAGTGGTCATTCCCAACCCCTAAAACTTCAAATGATCATATACATTGTATCTTGAAAATGATTGAAAACTCTCCCCTTAACCATATATAATAGTGTCCCTCGAGTCATTATTCATTAAATGGTATAAAGGTTCTGACCCCTTGAAGTCATCCTCATCCTAAAACTGGAAATGATCGCAATATGACCAGCGTCAAAAGTGTGTTAGTGATAATATGCTTGACATTTTATTCAGGACCCCCAAGGGGTCAGTTCACCCTCCTAGAAATAGAAAATGAAAATCATTCAGAGACCCGTCATTATACTTTGTGTACATGTACATTTTTGTATTATAAATAATTTGTATAAATAAACAAGCCTGGGGCTGGGAAGGGGGAAAAGGGGAAGGAGTTATGTCTGCATGGTTTTAAATGTTGAAAACTCCTAAAATTTGTGAATATTAACCCGGTCGTTTCCCACTTGTCATCATTATTTACTAATCTTCCCACACCATACATGTGTCTTTATTAAATCAATAGATCATGGACTTTTTTGGTCATATGCCTAGCTCTGCCTTGAATCAGGAATGGTGATATAAATATTTTAAGAATGATTAAGAATAAAAACAGGTCTTGCACAATCTCCTAAAATTGATTAAGCTCTGTAGCTATACTGGTATAGCTTGGTTTTGCTATTCAAAACACTTTGATTTAACTATTTAATCATACTTTTTTTTTAATGTACAATTTTATCAATATAGATAAAAGTTGCACTATGTTGACATGGGTATAAATTTTAAATTTTCACATTTGAGTTTTCTGAAAACAATGCATGAAGGAAAATTGCTTTTCAAAAATTGTCTCCTGAGAATTTGCTATCACAGCAGATATATATATTTTGCATGAGGCTATATAGCTGGAGTAATCTCTCTCTCTCTAACATCTACTTGAGTCAAAATTAAAGTGGAATTATAAGACAATTTTTTTTTTTAATTGATGACTTTTTAGGATTTTACACTAATTCATACTGCAGCAAGAATGTTATTCCTCCCAGAAAAAAATAAGTTTACTCACTGTCTTGTCTTTGATCTATATCTATAATTACAAAAGGACACAGCCAGAAATCTTTTAACGTATTTGTTACAAATTTCACTTGGAACTACTATTAATTTGCTCAAGATCAGTATTTTCAGTAGGCAGAAATGAACTTGATCAATTATGCTTGAAAAGTACTCACTGTGAACAATCACCTGACTTGTTGAAGACAGGTAAACATACCCCTCAGGGTAAAATTATCATACAAAGGCCTGTACAAAATTGAAGTCATAATTAAATCATCATTATCTTAGTTAAAATAAGAAGAAACACACTAGAGGTGTGATGAAATACTTAGCAACACAAAGAGTTTTATTTCTCATGCAAAATATTCTTTCTTGTGTAAAACAATTGTTCTAATGAAGGGCCAAATCTTCTTTTAAGGAGATAAGAATGAGTGAAAATTTAATGTTATTTCAAATATCTTCTTCTGAAGAATCACTGGGCCAGAAAAGTTTAAAATTATGTGAAACTTCATTACTTAGTGTAGATTCAACTTAGTCCAAATTATGACCTTCAGGGGTAGGGTGCGGCCACAATAGGGGATCAAAGTTTTGTAAACATGGGAATTTACAGTAAAACATGCTTATAACAAGGTGCCTGGGACGGACGATTTTGCTTTTTTATAAGTGTAATTGCTTATATCCATTAAGTTTACAATATATTTTAAAGTCACGGGGAATGAAAATTGCTTTGCTGTAAGTGTCAATTCATTATAGACCTGTTTCTCTATTAGCATGCTTTACTGTATAAGAAAAAAATTCCTTCTCAAGAACCACTAGGCAAGAAAAGTTGAATCTCATGTGAAAGTTTCATTACATAATGTAGAAACAAATTTGTTCTTTCAAAACTACTCCTCCTACTGCCTACAGGTTTGATGCAACAAATAGACTATACTAGTCTACATATTGTTTTTGTCAGTTTTCTTCTTCAATCAAATTTTGTCCGAGCCTTAACTAGACAACCCTTTGACATTAAGACTTCAAACTTGAAACATGGAGAGGTGGTGTGGAATTGGGGTTGAGGCCACCAAACTTTTTTTCACCTTGACCTTTTGATAAGGTCAAGGTCAATCTTTACATAAAAAATATAGTCCAGGCTATAACCTGAGAACCCTTTGACATAGAAAAAAGACATTTACAAAAGATGCCTTGATTTAAAATTTTGACCTTGACTCCTTTCTTCATTCAAGGTCAAATTGAGAAGAACACCTCCAAACCATAACTTAAGAACCTTTTGACATTAAAACTTCAATCTTGGAACATGGAGAGGTGGTATTGAGAAAGGGTGCATGCAAACAAAATTTTTTACCCTGTTTTTATGCCCCGCCATGAATATGCCTGGTGCATAATTGCATATAGTGTTTGTCATGTCCGTCTTCCGTCCTTTCATCCTTCCGTCTGTCTTTCCGTCAAGCTTTGCGTTTAGCACTGTTTAAAGTTCAATTTTAAAGAAACTATCAAATATATTTTTATCAAACTTCATATGTTGATAGATATTGATGAGAGCTATGTAACTGCATCAACATTTTTTGACCTTGACCTTTCCTTTGACATTGACCTTCACCTCACTTTTCTTAAATGTGTTTAGCTCATTTTTAAATATACCATTCAAGATAGTGTAATTAAACTTCTTACGTTGATACGTACTGATCTAAGTTATTCAACTGCATCAACATTATTTGACCTTGACCTTTCCTTTGACCTTGATGTCACTTTTCTTAAATTAGTGTTTAGCTCAATTTTAAAGATACCATTCAAGATAGTGTAATTAATCTTCTTACGTTGATACATACGGATGTAAGCTATTCAACTGCATCAATATTTTTTGACATTGACATTTCCTTTGACCTTGACCTCACTTTTCTTAAATTAGAGTTTAGCTCAATTTTAAAGATACCATTCAAGAAAGTGTAATCAAACTTCATATGTTGATACATACTGATGTAAGCTATTCAACTGAAACAACATTTTTTGACCTTGACCTTTCCTTTGACCTTGACCTCACTTTTCTTAAATTAGTATTTAGTTCAGTTTTCATGAAATCATTCAAGATATTTAAATCAAACTTCATATGCTGATACATACAAATGAGAGCTATTCAACTGCATCAATATTTTTAGCCCTTGACCTTTCCTTTAACCTTGACCTCACTTTTCTTAAATTTGTGTCAAAATTCATAAATGGGAATATACACTTAATTTGATCATCGAAATATGGCTGAAATATTGCCGACTTGGCATCAAACAATAATAATCAATTAAAATCAATCCAAAAGATGATGGCTGTTGTGTAAAATGTTGGAGGAGTTCTGGGAACCATGGTCTTTTTATATAAAAAAAACATCATTTTCGACCCGAATTTGACCCCTAGGGTGAAAATGAAAATTCCAAAACCTTATTGCACAACTACAGGACACCACAAACCACCTCCCAAAAGATGATTAGGCTACTGTGTAAAATGTAAGAAGAGTTCAGGGAACCAGGGGCTTTTTGCATAAAAAACATCATTTTTCGACCCCCATTTGACCCCCAGGGTGAAAATGAAAATTCAGAAACCTTACTGCACATCTACAGGACACCACTAACCATCTCCCAAAAGATGATTAGGCTACTGTGTAAAATGTAAGAGGAGTTCAGGGAACCAGGGGCTTTTTGCATAAAAAAAGTCATTGAATGAAAACTCAGAAACCTTACTGCACATCTACAGGACACCACTAACCATCTCCCAAAAGATGATTAGTCTACTGTGTAAAATGTAAGAGGAGTTCAGGGAACCAGGGGCTTTTTGCATAGAAAACGTCATTTTTCGACCCCCATTTGACCCCCAGGGTAAAAATGAAATTTCGGAAACCTTACTGCACATCTACAGGACACCACTAACCATCTCCCAAAAGATGATTAGGCTACTGTGTAAAATGTAAGAGGAGTTCAGGGAACCAGGGTTTTTTTGCATAAAAAACCTCATTTTCTACCCCCATTTGACCCCCAGGGTGAAAATGAAAATTCCGAAACCTTATTGCACATCTACATGACACCACCAACCATCTCCCAAAAGATGATTAGGCTACTGTGTAAAATATAAGAGGAGTTTGAGAAAGAAGAGTGTGACAGACGGACGGACGGACAGACAGACATGAGTAACAACAATATACCCGAACTTTCTTTAGAAAGTGCGGGTATAATGAAAAAAAAAACTATGCTATTTGGTAGTTGTGAAAATTTATATGTTTTGATTTGGTATAAATTAAGGACTGATAAATTCATACATATCATAACAATTTACATTGTAGTAGTAGTTATAGGATGTTTGAATATTATTAGTAAAAGCGCCAAGCATATACATTTCAATGTAGACAAAAATATGAATGTTTTGACGAAAAAACTTTTAAATTCTCCTCACGTGCCCCCCCCCCCCCCCTTAAAATACATGGTCCTAACTCTGCTATTAAAAATTTTCGCTGATGATGTTATTGCAATTATAATGTAGTTTCTTAGAAATCTGGCAACAGATACAAGAATATATATAGATAACAGTAAAACATGGATGTTAACACAACAACTTTTTGCAGCTTCTTGATACAAATAGGATACAATAAAATCAAATATAAATCACATATAAAAGATATTTAGCAAGCATTTGACACGGAATATATTTGCATTTGTGTCCTTCAAGCATCCTGTCAAAACATCTGGTTCAGTACTTTTCAAAATCTGACTTGTTTGGGAATAATGTTTGATTTTTACAAAATTTCTCATAGTTGTGACATTTCCTTTCTGTGTCATTCGTAAACAATGTGACTTTAATTTTCTAGTTCCAGATACCCCTCTATTCCCGTGTTGATGTATGTATTTTGGAGACTTTGGTAATCTGAATGTGTCTCAAACTCGTCATCTGTTGGAGAAACTATTTCTGAAAGCTGTTCTGCCAGATCTGAAAATGTCGGTCTCTGATCGGGATCGAGATTCCAACAATTAATCATTTTAGTGTATCTGCAAAATATAGAAATAAAAATTTCTTAGATTTTTATCATTAAAGGTGTTATCATTCTGAAAGTAAAATATTTGAAGTTTAATTTTCCATTAAATTTATAAATATAAAGTTCTACTCTATTTTAGTATTCGTTAGCTAGCAATCTTACAGCAACTCTGGACATTTCGCCGGTTTTGGCAACCGTCTAGAATCCTTTAAATACTTTAACATGTCCCAACCATCGACTTCCGGGTATGGCTTACTTCCTCTTGTAAGAAGCTCCCACATAACGACCCCAAAGGACCACTTGTACAAATAGGTAAGAATGACACATATTTTTATTGCACATACCTTTTTAAATACCGCATTGCACTTTACCATATGATTAAAATGTATGTCATTTGTATATTAAGACACTCAATTTCTATAGACACATTTGTTCTGCATTGAAAAGTTAGATGAATATTTAAAAAATATTGTGTATATTGACGTATTGTTACGTTTTATAAAATAGACACCCTAGACTTTTTTCTATATTCAAAGCATCCTATAAAAAAGTGTCGTTTTCTGTATTTTATTGTCAAGCTTGATATTAAGAATCATTGGTAGAATTTAATATTTTAATCAGGTTTTGCGTTTGTCATTTCTTATATAATACTATATATTCCATTGTTTGAAGCTTAATTTGAAGCTGTTCACCTGTATATGTTTACGACTCTCTATGAGTGAAAAATTCTCGAAATAGGCCGTTCCGTTTGTTTGTATGCTGTTTAACGTCCTTCTCGAGATTTTTTCGCTCATATGGAGACGCCACCACTTGCCGGTGGAAAGCTGCAAATTTTTTGTCCTATGCTCGGCACTCAGGGCCATTGAGCAGTGAGGGATCTTTTTCGTGGCAGCACCTACTGCGACACAGGACCTCGGTTTATACGGTCTCATCCGAAGGACCGGTCTCCACGTCCCACAGTGGGATTCGAACCCGCGACGATAGGATCAAGTCCTTACTTCGCGACTCTAGAGCAGACGCTCAATCAATTGCGCCACGCGGGCGACAGGACGTTCCGTAAAACAACATATAATCAATCAGTCAATCAATCAATACCTAACTGATTCAAAACCATTATAAACAAATAGAAATCATATAAATATAGTGAAAATATATCTTAATTCCAATTGTGATGTTGTAAGTGAACATAATCATAAATTAACCGTTGTCAAATTTCCATATGCATTTTTTCATACCACGTCCGATTTGGGGCTATATATCCCCTTCTCAAGATTCTCTGGAGCCATCCATTTTACCGGTAATCTTGTTTTCCTGTTGTTACTACTGTAGTAATCTTTCTCATAAATGTCACGTGACAATCCAAAGTCGGCTACTACTGCACGGTAGCACTCACTAAGCCTTATGAAAGAAATAATCAAAGTGCATTAAAAAGAATTTTCAGGGATAGCAAATTGAAAACTTCTTTAGAGTCTTACATGCAATTTCTAGCCGCCAAATCCCGATGCACTACTTTCTGAATTGACAGATACTCCATTCCTCTTGAAATATCCGTAGCGAATTCAATCAGATTCCGAAGAGTAAGCATCTGAAGTAGGAAATGCAATTGAAGCAATCTTAAGCCAATTTTTCTTCACAATTTGTAACAGTTGTATTAACAGGTAAAAGTTATCTAAGTACCCTCTAATAAGTAATGTTACGGTTGTACATTTTTGTGGAATTTTGCCTCTCAATCATAATTGTAAAAAATTATTTTATATTACGGTTCATCAATCTCTTATCTTCTCTATTTAAACATAATATGTTAACTCGAAAATTGCAAACACAGAACACTATAAGTGCTACTTTTTAAGTCAAAACACTTTTAAACTAATTAGCGTTAAAACAGTATAGCATGATGAGGCCAAATATGCCTGAAATATAACTGATGATAATTATGTATTTAGCATCAGATTTGAACTATTCCTCTTGTTTACATTTTTGTCGTTCCGGATGTAGCAAAGAAGGTCTCCATGTTTCATATACGGTAAAACCACCAGGGGCATTTCATCCAGGGATAAGCAAATTCCTATCAATGTCATGACGTTAGGATGATTGAACTCGAGCATTCTAATAGCTTCATCCAGAAAATTATCAACGTCTATTTCCCTAGGGTTGCTTTCTGTAGAATATAGATTTGAAAAATGAAAACATAGTTATAAATGTAGATAAGCCGTTTATCATTAATCATTAATATAAAACAATAGAATATCATTAATCTAATTATGTTTTTTATCTCTATTTAAGAAAAAATTGTTTTTTTTTTTTCGATGTTCAAATAAATATTCTGAAGTGTATAATGGAATACATGACAAAGTCTTAGAAATTATTCTTGCATTTGTAAAGGTACTTAACTAAGTAAAAGTGTCATCTTTTTATTCTACTTCCTTTTTAGAGTAAAAAAAAAATACATACGATGTAAAGTCTTGACTGCAACTTTTATTTCTAAATCTTTTTCCGTATTCGTAAAGGAACCCTCATAAACAACACCAAAATTTCCTGCAAAAGCATTGTTGGAATCGAATTTAGGCATCTATAAAATTGATAATAGTTTTTTTTTAAATATCAGCCATAAAATTCAAGATCGTTTCTGTCTATACTGCAGAACCCATTATGGGCAAGGTTGCAAATCTCACAAATATTTATAGATTAATTCCGAACTAAAAAGCAAGCCTTAGCTCAGATAATTCTGCATAAGTTACCCATGTTTTCAATATCTTGGCAAGGGAATGGCTTGGGGAATGGAACTTACCTTTTCCTATTTGGCAATTTATCTCAAGATTTTCCTTCGAAATAAGAAGTCCTTTGTTTTTGAGTAAATACAATATATTCTCATTTACATGACTTTCAAACGTTGCAGTGGTGTTGGCATTACTATGGTCAATGTTTATCAATATATCATGACCTACAATAAAGTTTTCATTTTTTCAAATGTTTGATAGGTTAACTGAAATACTTGATATATATTAAGGCCAGGAAATGGGGTGAATTATGTTTTTTTTAATCTTTATACAACTAACATGTACTAAGATCCTTACACAATATTCATGTATTGATTTTTAAACTATATGAATTTAAATGAATGTACTGTGATATAGTTGATTTGAGTTCATTCTTTTATCCACAGTTGTGAAACATATCTACCTGAGGCTCTCTGAACATTTTCCATCGGTATTCCTGTTTTATTGATTATCGTTATTTTGAAACAATCATTCTTTCTTTGGCGAAAAAAGAGAAATGCAGCACAGACAATGAAGAGAAGGGACGCAAAACAAGCCAAGACAGTAAACAGAGTATTATATCTTGTGGTATATTTGACAACTCCGATGACTGTGTTGATGTTCCCAACTTTAACCTATTTTCAACATATTAGTAACAGTAGGTTTAGTTGCTCAATGTAGACACATCATTCAAACTGTTTAAAATGTTCACGAATTTCAGGTAGAGAACAAATACGACTGTTTTCCATTTGTTGTGTAATAATTTTCAACATTAGTATTTATGTAATTACCCTTATATAAAGTTTATCCTCGTATAAACGTGGAGTTGGTTCTTTGTATGGAGGTAAACATATCAAGGTATCGTTTAGTAATTGAACGCCCATACAATCCCCACTACCGATAAGTACAATGTAGTCTTCTAAATCAGTGACAATATTCATTTGACGGCCCTGTTCATGAAAATATTGTAACGCATTCATTTTGTCAGTTATATGAACATATGATATCGCCTAGAAATTATATCTTAAAAATGCTTTAAAATTTATTAAAATGATATCAATTATCATGTTCTACTAAATGCAAATACACACCTTGATAAAAATGTGTCTGTTTTCTGATGATGGGTCATATTCATAGGGACGGTTTCCATTCAACTCAAAAAAAACAGGATCGCTTACATATATGACCGTCTGTGAGATCACAAAACTGAATCCGTCGATATGAATAACAATAGTTTGATATGCTATGTCTCTTTTCTTTCTAGTACGTGACTCATTTTCTTCCAGTTTGGGAAATGTACAAGATAAAACGGTCGTATTTTGTATGCTGCATTTTGGTCCAGTCTAAAAATAAAGAAATACTGCTGGTATTTTTGTGAAATTATAAAATAAAAGAAAAAAAACTAGATGCGTTTCTTGTTGCTAGGGCAACAAGTGGTCTTCCGGCCGAACTTTTCTCCAGATGGTTATGCTACCTCACTTCATTTAATACTTTATTGAAGGTATTTTTTGTTTGCGTTCATGTAACACAGTCTTTCAACATAGATAATGATTATTCAAGGATTTCTCTAGAATCTCTGTTAAAAAAGCTTTAAAAAATAAGCAAAAACTATCATAGACGTCTTCACAGAAAAAATTTCATTTACAACTGAAAAAAGAGAGAAACATTCTCCCGCCCCAGCAGGATTCGAACCCGCAACAATACGAGAAAGTTTGGATCGGTCATATCTTTGCAATAAATGCATCAATCAAAATGATGAAAACATACTTAGTTAGAACTCTTAGAAGACTCTCTATTAACCCTATAAATCCCAGAGAAAAAAAAATGCAAAAAAGGCTCCTCCAGCTGTGATCGAACTCAAAACCATTGGTTTGAAATGCAGGTGCGCTAACCACTACGCTACACATTCCGATAAAATTGGTAGGTTAATTGTTTAAGACTATAGAATAAATACAAGTGTATTTTTAGAATCGGCAGGGGAGAAAGAAGTTCCGTAAAAGGAAATAATTCCTGAACTATATAAAATAACAAGGGACGGGTTGCGTGAGAAAACGGTAACACTGTTCCCTAATGAAAATGTATTAATGGACTGTAGCCCGATTCATCGATATTGTGAGCATGCTGAATTTTTTGAAAATAGCTTTGTTGTAAGCTTAAAAGATCGGGTTCGGATTTTAACATTTCTGACTGAATATCCTGAAATAAATATGATACATTTAAACAAGCATTTCTTTGGGTTAAATTAAAAATATGTAGCACAAATTAAACTCCCAGCATGCATTTTTAGAAGGGAAACACGACAATGAAAGCGAGAATTGTTTTTAATATACCGAAAATCGCTATTTCTGGAAACTGATTAATTCTAAATAAAAATCAAATAAATTCCAAATGTAAAAGAAAGAGAGAATGCTTGGTATTAAAATGTCGTATCATATCAGGAGAATAGAATGCTACTAACGACATCTGAAGAAATAGCCGATAAAAGGTTTAGATCATTTCTTCGTTCACCTGCACTTTAATTTCAAACACAACAGAACTTGTAGTTTTTGCCGTGAAACTTCAAGACTTCTATAAACTTACAAGACTCACCGTAAATCTCCCCAGAAAGTTTCTCTGAGGTCTATACTACATTTGTACCAAATATGGTGTCGATCCGAGGTCTGGTTTGAATTTTACAGAAATATTCTACGTTGTTGTTGATGTGATTTTTTTTAAAGAAGGGGGGTTGAATTATTTATTTTATGCCTCTTTTAACCTAAGACTTGTAACTACTTCCACATCCTTAAGCCTGAGTGTGACCTTTGGGTCAAGGTCAAAGGTCAAGGTCATTACAACCCCCCCCCCCCGAAAAAAAAAACCAGGAAATCTTTACTTTCTATGTTTTTACCTGATACTGGAGATGGATGCATGTCCTTACTTTTCATTTGACCCAATGTCAAGGTCATCAATGGTCAAGGTCAAGTTCAAGGTCATTTGGTAAATTGTTATATTTTACACACATATAAGGAATTTCTTATGTTTTTGAATGACCTTGGCCTATATTTTAAGGTCAAAGTCAAATATGCCGATGCAGTTGTTCCCATGTCTCTAGGATACACCGGTTTAAAAAAAAGTTCATTAAATGTAAGCAGCGTAAACTTTCAGGGGCAGTAACTCATACAAGGAACCAAAGAATGCTTTTGCAATAATAGAATGAAGAGAATACTAAATGAGTCAAAGACACTGATGAAGGTTTGGAATCTCTACGGTTTACGGTTTTGGAGGAGTAGCGATAACAAGGTTTTATTGCGAAAGGGGTGACAACTTTTGAATGGGTCAAGCTATAGTTTTAGAAGGACATATTATAGATGCAAAGATTGATTGATTGTATGTTGTTTTACGTCCCATTCGAGAATTTTTCACTCATATAGAGACGTCACCATATACCGGTGAAGGGCTTCAAATTTTGACCTTTACTCGGCACTCAGGGCCATTGAGCAGTGAGGGATCTTTATCGTGCCAACGCCTGCCGTGACATGGGGCCTCGGTTTTTAAGGTCTCATCCGAAGGACCCGCAACTTTCAATTCAAAGTGCCGAGCGCATGGCGAAGGAACAGTTGCTTCCCATTTTATCGACTTAGGTCTGTCGCGGCCGAGATTCGAACTCACGACCTCCCGATCACGGAGCGAGCGCTCTACCATAGATGCAAAGATATTCAGTATATGTAGAAAGGTTTTCTACAGAATCTCTGACAAAAAAAGCTTTTAAAAATCAGCAAAAACTACCATCTATGTTTTCAAAGAGAGAGAAGTCATTAGCTACTGAAAAAAGAGAGAAACAAAGAAAAAAAAATAACTGCCTCCGGGACAAAGTTTGGATCGGTCATATCTTTGCAATAAATGCATGCATCAAGATATAGGAAACATATTTAGAATTCTTGTAAGACACTCTATAAACCCTGTAAATCCTAAAGAAAAATATTGAAAAACAAAAAAGTTAAAAAATTAGACTTTTTGAATTCACTTCCGTTTGCGACCGGAAGTGCCGACGACGAAAAATAAAGGTCGTTCCATATATTGGAATTCGATGTTCTATCTCTTCAGTGAGTTTCAGTTTCATATTTTTAGCCGTTGTCGAGAAAAATTCTGGACAAAATGCCATTTAAAAAATACAAATTTCCCCCAAAATCGCGAACGGAAGTGAATTTTGAAAAAATGAATAACAAGTCTGGAGATATTTACATGGTGCATCTTCCCTGAAAAAATCTCTGAAATCTGCCCACTCACAGCTGAGATATCGCCATAACTATGAAAAAAGAATTATTAGTAATAACTAGAAACTTGTTGCCATGGCAACAAGAAGGTCTTCCGTCCTTTCTCCGTCATGAGAGAAGTTGATTCCTCACTCATAACACTATCTGTATTACGTTGTGCATTCCTTTTAACTCCTTCATACATGAAATACGATACTACAGAGTCTGACACATCTGTTTCATATTTGGATATTTTACTTGAAAAAGACGTTAATGGTAATCTAACAACAAAGCTTTATGATAAACGTGGTGACTTTAACTTTTTAATCGTCAACTTCCCTTACTTATGCAGCAATATACCTTAATCACCTTCATACGGGTTTATATCTCTCAGTTGATTCGATACGCAAGAGCATGCTCTACGTATGTACAATTTCTAAAACGAGGTAAATTATTGACAAACAAGTTGATGAAACAAGAATATCAGCATTCTCGTTGAAAGTCATCATTTCGTAAGTTCTATGGTCGATACAATGACCTTGTCAGCAAATACATTTTATCATTGTATCATTGAGTCAAATGCGGACTGACTTTTTCATACTAATTGTTAGGCCATTATTTACACACTGAATTGTCGACGGATTTTTCCGTTATTTCCCGATCATGACAAGGAGCTCACGGCGGGTGTGACCGGTCGGCAGGGGATGCTAACTCCTCCATGGCACCTGATCCAATCTCTGATGTTTTGGAGGTCCGTGTTTGCTCTGCACACATTTTGTAATGTTTAATGTAATTTTGAGCTTGAATACTGTTCGTTATCTCCATATTTTATACAATAAAACGTAAATTGTAAAATATATCGAGTTATTCGAACGGAAAATTATACCAGATATCATTTCAA